GGGGGGATGAAAACGTAGCTGGAAGGGCGGGAGACGGGGAAATAACTGCCAGGAGGTCAGACACGCGCAGGATGCGCGGAATTTTCTCGCTGCGAGGCCACGCACGCCCCTCGTTCTACGCGGCTTTTTTACGATCGTTCGACTTTTCAACCCTCCGCGGTGCCACGCTTCTGTTTCCTCCGATTTCCACGACGCCTGGCCCAATCAAATCCAGGAAATTTCTGTTAATCCCAATTCATCGCGTGTACCATTTCGCAAAGAAGAAAATAGAGATCTGAACATCACGAAGGATGAATTTTTTAGTTGAAACTGAGATTGCAGGGATATACCGAGAGAAGTATTACGACTGTTTGCTGAAAGATAAGAGGACCAATGCAGGACACGTGGTTGAAGAAATTTCTCTGAGGATACGTTTCTCTGCTCTCGGCATAATGGCGGTCTCCGTCTCGCCGAATCATAAATAGCGATGGTGAAAAAAAATCGGAGAGTCATAGTCGAAATTAAGAAATACTTCAACCCACCCTGAAAGGAATTCTTTCGTTCGATTTATATATATGATATTTATTTATTCGTTTTAGCTACATTTAAGCGCGTGAGATGTTCCTCGGTACGCTTTCACGCACAAAGTCTACGATTTCCCCCACTAGATTAAAAATTCCTTCAAACGATTACAAAAGGCTATGGAGGCTGGTATACATATCCTCTAACACACGGTGTGGCGTATCGCGTTGAAGCTAGGCTACGCCCATGGATGGCGCGTATTCTTCCGCGAGAATCTCGGCTTCCGGCTGGTCGCGAAGGCAGCAGGAAAAATTGAAAGCTTCTCCCTGTCCCCTTGCTTCTCTGCCTCTCGGCGGCGGTGTCCTCGGGGTGCGGCAGGCGCGTACGCGTACGCGTACACGCATATACGACCGCGTAAGTGCGTGCTATAGATTTCGTTCCACTCTCTGCGAAACCGTGTACTTGTGCGTGCCGTATTCACTCTAGAGGCCTGCAGCGCCCTTTCCC